CGTAATCTTCCCTGTATTTTCTTTTGACAAATTTTTTTTTTCCAACGTTGCTTGTGCTAGGTACAATATGTTGCTCAGTATCAGCTGTTCTTTTTAAAAATTTATCCATTTTGCTAAACTTTAACGTTCCTTGACTTTTTCAATCAAAGACCACTGGGCACTGATTCTGCAAACTCACACTTTATTTATATTCGAATACTACACGTGCTATGTTTTAGCCTCGACAATAGGCTTTACAACAAGGATGCCCAACCCGCAGAACTGTTTTTTGCGGCCCGTCCTGTGAAGTTTGTAAGAAGACTATTCAAATTTTCACTATGTTATATATCAATATATAGGCTTAAGTATGTTTGGTGATTTTGGTGTGATTATTCCTGCCATCTATCCACATTCAATTGCCGTTTTTTATTATTACGTACGTGTCAAGTCTTGCACCCTAGTGGACATCGACGTCATTTTTTTTTATTTATTTCTGAAATTTATTTTTGGATATTGTGCGATCATTGGGGACAAACGTAAGCGCAATTATAGATATGAATTAGGAGCCTAAATTTGCAAATTAATTTCATTCTGATTGCTTTCTTTCGTGTCGACTTCGATCGCTATCGTGACAAAAAAAAGTTAACAATATTTTTGGTTGATCCTTGATCCCGGGACTCATTGCCTTTCTATTTTCAATTTATATTTATTTGTATTTTTGTTTATGTTATGTTGGTGTTAAATAGGATTTCGGAAATGTCGTAACTGAGTATCCGTCAATAATTCTGATGAAATTGATAATTCTGATAATATTCGACTTGATATTCGAATAATTTGACAGCCCTACCCAGTAACCAGAAAGCAATTATTAACTTTATTGATTTCATGTTAATGAACTTGTCTTTTTTGTATTATGTAAATTACCCACACCAAAATTAGGAATTAGCTGGTATTAATGTTTGGTATAATCGTTGGCGGCCCGCAAATCAAGCGGCCGTTGGCGGCCCGCGAGATCAAAACGGTTGACAGGCCTGCTTTACAATATACAAGCTTGTCATATAGGCCTATTCCTTGTTACGTCACAAATTCACAGTGAGGGTGTCAGGAATTCGAATTGGGGTCGCTCAAGCTAACGTAAAAGCAGGTTAACTTTACGTCAGTAGAGTGGTGGACTAACGCAAAATTAACAAAAGATAACAAATAATTTGTAAAAAGAAGAGAAAAGTTGCAATTCCCGTGCGGCACACCTGGCATCGTCTCGCGGCACACCGGTTGCGGAGCACTGGGTTAGAGTAAGCATATGAAGTGGGATTCATGGTGAGTTCTGGGTTAGGATAGATATAAAACCATAGGAAAATGGTTAGAGAGTAATCATATGGAGTGGGATTCGTGGTGAGTTCTGGGTTAGGATAGATATAAAACCATAGGAAAATGGTTAGAGAGTAAGCATATGAAGTAGGATTCGTGGTATGTTCTGGGTTGGGATAGATATAAAACTGTAGATAAATGGTTAGAGTAAGCATATGAAGTTGGGACTCATGGTATGTTCTGGGTTAGGATAGATATAAAACTGTAGATAAATGGTTAGAGTAAGCATATGAAGTTGGGACTCATGGTATGTTTTGGGTTAGGATAGATATAAAACTGTAGATAAATGGTTAGAGTAAGCATATGAAGTTGGGACTCATGGTATGTTCTGGGTTAGGATAGATATAAAACTGTAGATAAATGGTTAGAGTAAGCATATGAAGTTGGGATTCATGGTATGTTCTGGGTTAGGATAGATATAAAACATCAGGCAAATGGTTAGAGTAAGCATATGAAGTGGGATTCATGGTATGTTCTGAGTTATGATAGATATAAAACTGTAGGTAAATGGTTAGAGTAAGCATATGAAGTGGGATTCAGGGTATGTTCTGTAATCGCTCTATATTAAGATCATTACGTGACGCGCAATTAATTTTGAACACGATAACTAGCTTCTAATGCTTTTTCGGAGACTGTAAAAAACGACTTCACAGGGCACTCTTGCTTCTTATTTTGACTTAACAACCGCTGGAAATAATTTATATTCTTGCGTGCATGAACGACATGTTTCGTATTTAAGTGCTGCATAAGTTTATTCGAAAACATTGCTTCATTTAAAAGTTGCTCCCCCCAAATAACCCAGACTGGGTTTGGAGCATCTCCGTTACCACAGAAAGAAAATCCATATTTGACGTAATCTTCCCTGTATTTCCTTTTGACAAATTTTTTTTTTTCAACGTTGCTTGTGCTAGGTACAATATGTTGCTCAGTATCAGCTGTTCTTTTTAAAAATTTATCCATTTTGCTAAACTTTAACGTTCCTTGACTTTTTCAATCAAAGACCACTGGGCACTGATTCTGCAAACTCACACTTTATTTATATTCGAATACTACACGTGCTATGTTTTAGCCTCGACAATAGGCTTTACAACAAGGATGCCCAACCCGCAGAACTGTTTTTTGCGGCCCGTCCTGTGAAGTTTGTAAGAAGACTATTCAAATTTTCACTATGTTATATATCAATATATAGGCTTAAGTATGTTTGGTGATTTTGGTGTGATTATTCCTGCCATCTATCCACATTCAATTGCCGTTTTTTATTATTGCGTACGTGTCAAGTCTTGCACCCTAGTGGACATCGACGTCATTTTTTTTTATTTATTTCTGAAATTTATTTTTGGATATTGCGCGATCATTGGGGACAAACGTAAGCGCAATTATAGATATGAATTAGGAGCCTAAATTTGCAAATTAATTTCATTCTGATTGCTTTCTTTCGTGTCGACTTCGATCGCTATCGTGACAAAAAAAAGTTAACAATATTTTTGGTTGATCCTTGATCCCGGGACTCGTTGCCTTTCTATTTTCAATTTATATTTGTTTGTATTTTTGTTTATGTTATGTTGGTGTTAAATAGGATTTCGGAAATGTCGTAACTGAGTATCCGTCAATAATTCTGATGAAATTGATAATTCTGATAATATTCGACTTGATATTCGAATAATTTGACAGCCCTACCCAGTAACCAGAAAGCAATTATTAACTTTATTGATTTCATGTTAATAAACTTGTCTTTTTTGTATTATGTAAATTACCCACACCAAAATTAGGAATTAGCTGATATTAATGTTTGGTATAATCGTTGGCGGCCCGCAAATCAAGCGGCCGTTGGCGGCCCGCGAGATCAAAACGGTTGGGCAGGCCTGCTTTACAATATACAAGCTTGTCATATAGGCCTATTCCTTGTTACGTCACAAATTCACAGTGAGGGTGTCAGGAATTCGAATTGGGGTCGCTCAAGCTAACGTAAAAGCAGGTTAACTTTACGTCAGTAGAGTGGTGGACTAACGCAAAATTAACAAAAGATAACAAATAATTTGTAAAAAGAAGAGAAAAGTTGCAATTCCCGTGCGGCACACCTGGCATCGTCTCGCGGCACACCGGTTGCGGAGCACTGGGTTAGAGTAAGCATATGAAGTGGGATTCATGGTGAGTTCTGGGTTAGGATAGATATAATACTTTAGGCAAATGGTTAGAGTAAGCAAATGAAGTGGGATTCATGGTATGTTCTGGGTTAGGATAGTATAAAACTTCAGGCAAATGTTAAAGTAATCAAATTTGTATAATTCGTAACATCGCAAAATTACCAATCAAAACTAAATATATGTACTATGTGATATGCACAGTGATTATATGTAGATATAGAGAAAATTCTGGAGGTTTTAGTAAGTTTTTCAGTGGTTTTTGCATGGGTTAGCTTGATAAATAACAAATACTGATCAATGTGTTTGCACAACAAAAGTGTTTGTTTTGTATTGTACTGTTTACCTATTCTTGGCATTATTGTGGCCCGCGAACAATGCAGAAATAATCTTGTGGCCCCCAGAGTCGACAACCTTGGAGCACTCTATAGCAGCGTTTCCCAAACTTTTTCGGCAACGGAACACTTACACTTTTTATCTCGCCTCGCGGAACACCAAAAAATGGAAGGGTACAATTGATAAAAAAAAAAAACGGTGGAATGTAGCGGTACCCAATGGGTTCGTCGTGGCGACTTGCCAAATGCGACGACTTGTAAAATGAATCAACAAATTCATTTTACCTTTCTATGTCGTTTACTTTCCATTATGTAGTGCTTGCCTCTAATGTTGCGTCTAATGGAGAAAGTAAGTACTTGCTGGCTTGCTGCATGTTTGCAAGCTGCAGTTTATTTATCTGCTGAATCGAGTTTAACGAGCATGAGTAATTTTTCCAGCATTTTAAAGTAAAATCAGACAGAGATGGTGGAAGAAGAGTTGACCATTTACCTGTATTCTTTAGACTTCTTGTTTGTCTATAGCAAAACCAGAAGGATTGCTGCAAACTTGATAATGAACTTAACAGAACAAAGATACAAAATTCTAGAATTTATAACCGCTTTATATTGATAAATATTTTTACGCTTTAGACCGACGGTGACGCGATATTGAACAGTTGGGCGACAACTTCACGATTCCTAGATTGCCATGGCGACCCATTTAGGCTTATTTTCTATTTATTTTTCACGGAACACTCGGAAGGCGCTCGCGGAACACTAGTGTTCCGCGGAACACAGTTTGGGAAACGCTGCTCTATAGGATAGGATTGACATGTTTAGGAAAAAGAAAGCCAATATGCCCGCTAAAACAACCATGACCTCTCGAACAGTTACCAGTTCCTGTCGGGTATGGAATTAGTTAGCCAGTTTTGTTTCAGTCAGATGCACAAATTTGAAAGTGGAGGAATCCGTAACAGACCAGCAATTATGTGAACCACGCTACGGTGACGGAAAGTCCAGTAATCCTCTCGCAGATAATTGTCTTCAGGAGATTAAACTCCACGCAGAGTAACCAGAGGTGCGGTGGTGAGCATATACCTTACGCTCAGCACAATGTGCCACACCCCCATCTTGACTTTATATCAAATTTAGCAAGTGATAGTGTTGAGACATTTACTTTTAATTCCAAAATAATTACCTGTATTTTCTATGTTGATGTTGACGTTGCCATAAATATTCGAGGCTGTTCCTTGTCCATTAGTTAATGTTGCTTCACCTGAAAAATTTGTATGGAGAGGCTTTAAGTAGAATATACCAATGCATGACACACATATTTTAGCAAATGGATAACCAAAAATTTTCAATCTCCATGCATAATACCCAATACCCATTTAGTGATGTATGACCTTAAAGGGCTGCCGATTCGACAAAGCTAGAGAAGCGACCCAGACGAGAGAATGGTAGCAGTTAACATGTGCTCACTCTTATTAACTTTGATTCACAATTTTTACAACACTTGAGTTAATGAGCAGTTTAGACGCTACAGCTAAACACAGACAGAAAGACTGAAAACAAGGGTCTCCTAGGGCGTAGATTCAATAAAAAATTGAAAACCGCCAAGGTTATTGCTAGTATTGAGAAATTAGTTAGCGAAACATAACAAATCAAATTGAGATTACCCATATCAAATAGTCACTTACACAGCTACTACGATCAGAGTGTGAAAGCAATACGAGACAAATATATTGCTAATTGCTGAAGGGGAACAGAACACATAAACAATATAAAAAAAACAATCTATATTGCATAACACGACATCAAAAAGTTACCGATAGTACCAATAACTCTGTTTTCACTATTTGTTTAATGTTTTAAACATTCTCAACTTCTTATGTTACTTGCAACTCGCGCTCGCGCTCTTTTTTTTCATCGGTTCATCATATTAATCCCTCTGTAGTTGGTCAACGTTGATAAACTCTCTCTCTCACGATATGAATTTACATTACAATAACAAAGTCGTCGCTAACTTGGAACTAGGCTCAAAATGCTGCTGTGCCACCTACGTCCAATATACTGACCACCTGAATTAAACATCCAACTTGATATGATTTGTCAATAACTTTAGGTTCTCAAATGGCAAAATTACTTAAATAAAATCCAACTGAGCCTCACCTTGAATGTTCACAACATTAGCTCCCTCTTGTTGGCCTTGATCTGACATTTTTGCGAGACAATCAGTCCAAATGTAGTCATAACATGGAGGATATGCTACTGATGGTTATTCAAAGTATTTTAACGTTACAAAATCTGATGAACATATAAGCACAAGTTTTGAATAATTTGAGATAATTAAATTTACAAAAACAAAAAGAGGTTTAGACCAAAGTCAAAAATTAAAATGTCATTGTCAACCATATCACACCTTTCACTTGTATGCTAATGAATGAACAACAGTGCCAAGCTATATAACAGTTCAAAGCAGACAAGTCCACTCTAGGTTCGGGTAAAATGCTTCGAATACTGACAAAATTTCATTTCGAATACTGACAGAATTCTGGAATATTTGATCTAATCCTACCCATCACGAGGACTTCCATGTAGCCATTTTACAGTTTGAGACTTCTTCCACAGACCGCATATATCAATCTTAAACCAGTCAGCTATTTTCATATATAAAAAGATAAAAGATTGGTATCAGGTTGTGCCTTTCCTCGGGTTAATATAAAATTCTATTCTAAATTTCAATGTAATTTTACTAATATTGGATCAAAATACCTTTATCCCAAATTGTTTTCCTACAGTCTTTTTTGAGTGTCAATGGCTATTTGAAATATGCCTAACAATGCTATTTCAATACTTGAAGAACATAGCTCTAAGAAAATTTGTATATTATATGAAAACGAGGATATTTACACAGGATATATTCTTAAGGGTAAATTTCAGAATTTTTTCAGTCAAAAATTTTTTAAAACCTTTGCATAAAAAATAAAATACAGAAAGTATGGTCATGTGTACAAACAGTTGGGCAAGTAAGATGGGCAATGTAGAATAATTTACTATTCTAGAATAATATGTGAATCAAATATCGGAGAGTTTTGCGACAGCCCAGAAAAATTGAAACGATGTGCGGCGCCCACTTTGAGAACCACGGGTGTATTGGTTTCGTGTCAAACATCTCACAGTTCTGTACAGCATTTTTGAGTCACAAGGTGGTATTTGTATTTTATTTCAAATACCTCCCAAGGTGACTGAAAATCAAACTCATAACAAAAACATTATTATGTCATTTCGAAGCATTTTACCCGAACCTAGAGTGGACTTGTCTGCTTTGAGCATGAGCCGTCATTTGGGTATACCACACGGTACATGCACAAAATATGATATTTGTCTGAAAAAAGGCGAATAAATATAGTGCATCGCACCATAAACTGATGTGCATGAACAAGGAATTAACAAGAGATGGTAACAAAAATAAATCAATGCTTCAATCATAGGGATTTGGTTTCCGCCTCTTCAGCGCAAAGTATTAATTTTTGTATTTTGGGTTTCCAATTTATTATTCAAGGACTAGCATTTTCTATCATGCTGAAATCTCTTTCATGTTTATATTTGTGTTTTCTCTCAAAGAACTCGTATTGCTTAATTTTTGCGTTTTTCATTTTACTATCTGGTTACCATATAATAACTATTGGTGCTGACTTACAGGCGATATTCCGATTACCATGCTTCATCTGACATTAATTGAAAGATTTTTCACAGCCTACAATTTCATCCAAAAGATATTAAGTAAACCAAATGCCAGGCATTAAATGTTATAACATTATTCGTCTATAGATTGTATTTTACGAGTATTGCTCACAGGAAATAAACACGCTGACATATTTGATAAATTCATTATTTATTTTACACCATTAATTAACGAGGGCCCTATCAAATGCAGCATTCGTTGTGGCCACATCAATTACGGTGGCCCCTGTCTGGCCTTGTGTCTAAATAATTCTCGGTATATTAGTACACCCACCCTCAGACATTATTTGAAGTTTTTTCATACTGCTTTTTGGTATTACACAATTTGGGTCTCATGTAGTTTCGTACCTAACATACTTCTAGTGGGCGTAGCATGACAATTTTTTCACGTATCTATCCTGACCCCCACACCTGACTACACCATCCAAAAATTACGTCATTACGACGTCACAGTGATGTAATAAAGCCCTTCAATCTATACGAACTGCCATCCAAGACGCGCAAACGAGCACCCGAAATCGAACATTTATTTCTCTCGTTTCCTCGTCGCAATGATTCCAATAGGAGAGAGATCGATAACGTCAGTCAGTTCTTTATCGTAGGTGCCAATGCCATTTCGGGCGATCGTACGTATATTTGGCAAGCTTTATGACGTAATTGTGATGTCGTAGTGACGTAATTTTTGGATGGCGTAGTCAGATGGGGGTTAGGATTGGCATATCAAAAAATTGTTATGCTACGCCCACTAGAAGTACGTTAGGTGGTACGAAACTACCGAGACTCCACAATTTATTACTGAAGCGTATAATGCACTGTTTTTTTACCTTATCAGTATTCAGAGATCACATAAATTTTGAAATATTTGAGGCAATAAGAATTTTGCTTAAATTCTTATATTTCACTGTAAAACATAAGAAATATCATACAGTCATACTGTCACCACCACCAAACACAGACGAATAAAAAATTACAAAAACATAAATCTAGTTGAACGAGACTTGGGCCAGAAATAAACAAGAAAGAAATACAAGAACGTATTAAACTCTCAAGCCTGCAAGCTGTTGTGCTTTTGAAACACTTGAGTTAATAATGACTAATTCAATCTGATACAGTATATCTGTGCTTTAATTCAAACGCCCTAAAAAGATAGAAATATAAATTCTATTTTTTGAAACTCACACTGTCAGACTGTACACCGGCGGCGGTGTGGCTCATCGTGCTGAGCGTTAGGAATATGCTGCCACCGCACCCAGGATAGGATAGGATTTACATATTTACCTCTGATTACTCTGCGTGGGTTCGCAGGTTCGAATCCCATGCAGGGATGGTAATGTGCGAGAGGATTGCTGGACTCCTCGCCGCCGTTGGGTGGTTCACGTAACCGCTAGTCCGTTACGGCTTCCTCCACCATCAAGTCCGTGTTTCCGAGAACAAATAACTAATCCCATACCGGTACCAGACTTTGAATGGTAACCGGACGAGAGGCGGTGGTTCGCCATATGATTAAGCAGTCTTATCGGCTTTCCTCTCCCCTGGATAAATATGTAAATATTATGCTATACTATATGGCAGGGCTACTCAACTAGTTTTACTGAAGATCCGCATACAAAACTCCAAAAAAATTTGGGTCCGGTCTTTCCAGATTTTGGCATCCTCAAACACGCACTTCCTCGGCCAACTAATGATTATTAGCTAATCAGGATTGTTTATTATGGCTTTATAGTTCTTTTCATATATATTTAAATCCATAAAAGTTATTTTAGGAAAGGAAACTTAAAAAGTGGGCTAATGATCCAAAATAAAGAATAAGGCGCGGTCCGAAACGAATACCCGGAAGGTCCGGATTCGGACCGCGGTCCGCCAGTTGAGTAGCCCTGCTATACGGTACCGATGCAGCAAGCAATATACAGATACTGAAATAGGTAGATAACACATTTAGTTAATTAAAATAGTGTTTTATTCCGATAATCCCTCTCTAATATTTCAGTACCGGTTATTTAAATATGTGTATTTATTTATTAAATTTCAGCACAACACCTGAATACTGCAACAGACAGTATAAGTAAACTAGCCAAGCTCATACCGGTACCGGTACGGTACATCTGCTAAATCTGTAAATCAGTAAATGGTGGTACCGTACCGGTAGTGAATTAAAACGTGTAAAATCTTCCTTTGTGCCGATTCCTTAGCTAATTTTTCCAATGTCATTTTTTATGAATTCACAATGTGAATTATTCGATAATGAAAAAAAATGAACTAATGAATGTATCAACACAGTAGTTTTACCCTAGGAATTGAATGAATCCGATGCAAAGCGGAAGTAAAACGTACTCTGTGAAGCTAGCAAAAAATTAAAAAAAACTGGAGCTGGCAGAATCGCAAAAAATTCCCACGCGCCTAATCATTTTTTGAAGTGTATATTTTAATTAGTTTTAAAATAGCGAATGAAGTAAAACAAATAGTGAATACACTTATCATCTCGTTCATATATAATAAACAAGCTTAAATGACTATAACATTGCATAATAGAATTTCTTGCGTTTCCGAGAGTTGTTTAGGAATGACAATTTTTCCGCATTGACTCGGTTTTAAACAGTCATTTCAGTCATTAAAAGCAAAGAGAACATTTCTGGATTCGGTTTTATTACGACGAGCCAGGGGCAGTAAATTTTGACATGGCATATATATTACCAAATATAGCGTATATTGTTCGGTTTTATGAATCATATAAATGTAACATATTTTCATGAGTTTTTGAATTTCATTGATTTCAAATAGTGATCGAATTGGTTTTTTGTTCACTTTCTACACTCTACTGTCATGCGACTTCTGTCACACAGTTTAAATGAGTTTATTTTTGTTAAATGTAATGTTTGTTTCTTGTGATACGTTTAAACAATGACATTAAACAACATGATAGGCAACTCTGACGTCACTCCATAAGACTACAGGCAAAACATTGTATTTCATGATACGCTCCAATGCACATATTTCTCGTCGCCTTTCGCGTCCGTTTTCCGCTCGCTTTTGCTACTCGGCGTCTTTTTTACGTGTAGTACCTGCCTTTTTGCGCCTGTAACGAAACAAAATAATCTCTATATCTAAGAAGTTTTGCTTACTTGGAAAGCTGGAATAACAGGCAAGCTGTAAAGAGCAATTCTGGACATCATAGACGTTTTTTTTATCAGAGAAGATTACAAACGCGATAGCGGAAAGATTTGTGTGGAACATTTTGCAGATAATGACAAAGTTAGTAATTTTAATGTTTGCGCTTAATCATTGAAATTTCATTTAAAGAGGGTGTCATACAAAACTGTGCTGCGATACAATTCCATAACACAAAGTTTGCACCTATCGAACTTGCTTTTGTAGGTGAATTTATTAGACATATTACATATTCAGTTAATCGTAGGTAACATTGCTGGTACATAATGCATCGTAGATAGGTTTGTTTAAATTTAGGAATTTAGCTCA